ATTTTAATAGCCGACACTGGAAGTAATACACACAACACACACCCAGTTCTGGAAAAGACCAGAACTGGCAACACACACCAAAATCCTATTCAGCCAGTGTCGGATTTTAATAGCCGACACTGGAAGTTGAGCCCAACGATTCCTCAAGAAAAAGAAGATTAGTTGCACCTTTTGGCGCTATTTTACACCTTTCGGCGTACTAGTTACAAGTAGTGTTTCTTTATGTTTTTGTGGGCTGGGCGTGCCCAAGCTAAGGCCCATGAACGCCAGCAGGAGTCTCCTTAGTTCTTTCCTTAGTATTCTTCTCAAGAATGCTGTGCTTATAGAATGGCTGGAGTCCAGCACCTGAAACAGCCTTTGATCTGAGATTATAGGAAGATTGCCTTTCCATAGAATGGATAGGAGTCCACCCAAAAAGGGCTGTCCATAAATTGAGTGGTCCCCCACTTTTGGACTCTCTTCTGGAGAGCCTGGTAGTTCGTAGAACCGTTCTATGCAGGAGCCTGGGGGGACTGATTCTATGGATGAAATTTTTACGGGGATTATATATATATACATACATGCCTTGAACACCCAACCTTGCCTTTTTTTGTCATCGGCTGATTTGGAAGCAAAAAAGTACTCTTTCAAGCAAAAGTGTAATCGGGAGTGAAAAGTGCTGGCGTGTCTTCCTGGCCCATTTCAGTGGACACAGATCCACTTCAAATTGACCATAATTGACCCTTCAAACCTGACAAACTTGGGCAATATTTTTGTCCGGGTATTTCCGCCTTTGTTCCGCCGATTTCCGCCTTTTGGACGGGTATTTCCGCTCTTGTGTTTTTGTGTTTCTTTTGAGCCCGGTCCGGTGGCTGGGAACCCTTTGGATCCGGTTTCTCATGTAACGTGTCTGGAATGTTGTGAAATACCAAGAAGTGTATGTTGGGATTTGTGAAGTTGAGAAAGTGTCATTATTTCACAAAATATTGTTTGTTGTTTTCAAAATTACTAAAACAATGCACACTTATGGTTTACTAGGTGGTCAAGCAGTGAAGCAGCGAAACTTCTAAGCCACGGGCAGCTGCTTCAACAGTCGAGGGGTAATGGCTGAATCTAAAAGCCTTGAGGAAGACCAAGAGTTTCATTTGGTTCTGACTGCATGGCATGGGAAGATTTCGGAGAAGCATGTTTGTGCTTTTTTAGTGCAAAGAAAAGGTGTATCTACAGCAAATACACATCCATTACGCATTTGCATTGCATACATATTATCATAGAGATTGTACTTTCTAGCTGTGTGTTCCGCTCGTGGCTTGAAGATAAACGCACGTGCTGGGGACAGTTCAGCCAACATAAGCCGGTAAGTATGAAGACTTATCAGTACAGCAGGGGCATCGCTACTAGTAACAAGTGCATCGCTACTGGTAGCTTCTTGCTGCTAGTAGTATTGCCGAGTATTGCCCCTGTTACTAGTAGCGATGCCCTTGTTACTAGTAGCTAGAAGCTAACTCCCGGAGTCATCACTTCTGCGGGAGCGTCTCTGATTGATCTTCTGGTCGCCCGCTGCACTGACATGCCCGGCTTCTATGTGCGCGAGCTGGTGCCTGAAAGATCATGAAAGGACAAGTGAGCGGTCAAAAGCCCTTGGAAACAGGATCACACACACAGACACACATACGCACACACACCCGCGCGCCCGCGCACGCCGCGTGGTCCATCGTGACGTCCGTCTTCCTCGACGGAAGGGATGGAGATCAACACGGCATTCTCTTCAGCCTCCACCCCACGAGTCCAATCCTCTAAGCCTCGGTCGCCGACGACGTAGCGTGGAAGAAGGGAGGGCATCCAAGCAGGCGATCCCGATGGCATTAGGGTAGCAATGTGTAGGAATCTTGATCAACTCCCCCAAATATGGATTGTAACACCCCTTCAGGCTTGGGGGAGGTTATTATTAGTTTAGTCATCAGTCTACATATAGAACGAATTGTGTTATTCCAAAAGTAATTGACCACAATGGGTGTCACATGGCTTGAGCAGCCCTCGGGCTGGCAGTCTCCCCGTTTGAAAGGCAGCGTCGCACGGTGACCGAACCAACCGCCCCACACCCTCGGTCCGCCGCCCAGTGAGCGGAAACACCGGAAAGAGGGGTAGGGCCTATAGGGGTCATTGGTCACCAAACCAAACCAAGCACAACCAAACCAATCGAACAAAACAACAAACTGAACCAACACCAAAACACAAAACAACTGCAGCTGAAACGCCCCCCCCCCAAAACCGCTATAGTGCGTGACTCCACGATATCTTCACGCTTCATCCTTCGGGTCTTCTGGTTTACCCGGGACCGTGGTCGTCCACCACCGAACCACATCTTGTCGTTGTCGTCGTCGTCGTCGTCGTCGTCCACCACTTGGTCTGAAACGCCTTCAGAAACGCCGCCATGGGACAAATGTAGTGCGGTTGCAATTGCTTCAGCTCGAGGCTTCGGGCATCAAAGCCCACGTGCAAGTGCCTGAACCGAGCCACGTCCGGTCGACGCCCGGGCGTGGAGCCAGGTCGTTTCGGGTCGATCAGTGGTCAATATCGCCGAAGAAAGCAACGCTTGTTGGACCTTGGAACAACCCCTGTGTTGATAGGGAAAAGGGCAAAATGTTGGTGACCAAACGGAATTGAACATGATAAAATAAAATCAAATATCATTCAATATCAGTGAACATGTATCAAAAGGATGATGACCATCGATGATCCCTGCAGGACCAAGAGGGTTTGTGGTACCGATCATTTCCAGTCATCCCGAAAGAGGGGTGACCCCACTAGTTAGGGCCCAGTGGATGATGATGGTTTGTAAAGGCCCTGTTCAAAAATTAGTGATTATCTTTTAGTGAGTTCATGTGAGTTACATTACCTAGTTCATGTCAGTTAATCCTTTGCCGAGTTATATTATACCGTTATACCTCTAAGATCATGAAAACCATCTCATCAAACTCACCCTGCCAACAGGGGAGAAACAGACTGCACCCAACGCAAGCTTTCTCCTGCACCCATGCACCCAGGTCTTCCCGTGGGCTAGCGCTCGAAGGAACTGACCTGACAACCATTGCCACCTCAATCACCAAACGCACGCCGTTCGTTAACTTACCCAAACCTTACTCTTCTTACACCTCTTCATAGTTCACAGAGACCAACAAAAACACCCATGGTCACAGGGAGTTTTCACCCCTCGGTGTGCTTTCCCCGGGCCTCTTGGATGGATGAACGTCAACTGCGAGGATCCCAAGGACCAACTCGGGATGAAATGTGTATTTCAATGGCATCTCTGGGCCCAAAGGGCTGGTCTGCTTCATTTGCCGAACCAAACCCTAGGGGGCGGAATGCCTCGCCTGGGAGGTGTTATTTTGTTTTCATACAGCACTCAAAATCTGAAGAATTGGGACCAATTCATGGCCACCATGGGACGTTGCAAGGAAACTGCGTGACTCACAGTAGCCACCTTGGGACCAATTCATGGCCACCATGGGACGCTGCAAGGAAACTGCGTGACTCACAGTAGCCACCATGGGAGAAGATCTCTGAACCTTTCTTGAGTTGAAGGGCATGTTAATGGTCCACTTCCATCAACGATTCAGGGATTGTATGAAAGAAAAAGGTCTGCCTTGTCTCTTCATTATAGTAGATGGTGGACATGCGATTCTCAGTGTTTCAGTGTGAACAGTCAGTCAGCGCCCAGACGCATGAAGGACTTGGTGGCTGGCATGGCAGCGCGTTCGCGGCACCAGGTCTGCGAACTCACCGAAGTCGGCAAAAGCTTTGGCAAATCCCAGGCACTCCTTGGTGGCAGTGGTACAGTCTATGCTGCTAGGGGGTAATGACATGCTGTGGTCTCTTTTCAGGAAAAACGGATGGTTGAAAGGAAACATGTGTTTTTTTCCTATGAGAGACTGCGATGAAAGCTGAACAATAGAAACAACACCTCTGGATGGTTTCCTGTGTGTCACTTGCTTGGGTTTCAACGCAAGAGACAAAGACCTTTCTGTCTTTCAACGCAACGTGTTATTCTTAAGAGACTGCTGGCCTTTTGCAGGACCTTGTAGATGGGTTCTGTTTGTCCAACTGATCCAACTGGCTCAACTTAGATTAACCCCCTTTTGCACTTTTGCACTGCCTTTTTGACACAACTTCTGGGCTTGATGTTCTGGGGAGAGGGCATAAGAACTCAACTGTCCCAAGCCGCGTGGCAGCTGGTACAAGTGAAATGGTTGCTGGCCACCGAAAGCTTTTGTACTCGAACCGAACATGCATCTCCAGTCCCATCCAGTGAATGATGACTAGCCAAAAACCTGCCCGAAAAAAGACTCTATGGGACAGGTGACTCCGATTGTTTGCTATTTGGGATGATGAACGTTCCCGTCTTAAGGGTCCCATGGATCCAGTCCGGATGCCGCCCCCGGTTCGATGCGGGATCATCGAGTGGGCCCCACCATAGAAAAGTGTCGAGAGAACGAAAACCCGACTCCGGAAATCCCGAACTCCAAAAACAACATGTTATACAAGTAGTATATTTTATATATATATAACCTGTTCTAATCTTTGTTCCACCTGTTCTTAGTCTTCTTGAGTGGGGAATACCGCCCCAAAAAGGTCTTGGTGATCAACAGAGTGGCCAGGCAAACCCAACACCTTGCCGAGGCACACGTTGCACACCACACTGGACGCTTCCAACACGTCACCATTGACCAACTCGACGCCGTGGCAGGTGCCACTCGACATCACCAGTTGCTTCACGGGAGTGTTCAAGCGCAGTGAACCACCATGAGATTCCTGAACCAGCGACGCCGTGGGTCGCGCGAAGTAGATGAGGAGAAATGAGGAGAATGGAGTGGTGGAGGATGGGGCAAAGAAGTTTCAACATGTGACTCATCAGTTACTTCCGGCTTCCTGTTCCTGAACCCACGCAATCCTTATTTTATGGTTTCAATGCCCCACCTGAAGTGACTACAACAGACGTGGGAGGGTCAGGAAGGGCCACCTTAAGGCACTACAACCGGTCCGGCTTCGGCTTTGGCCGGATCCGCCACCCCAGTCGACAGTACTCCGACTGTCTGAGTCGATGTGACTCAGCAGCGCAGGAAATGGTTTCTTTTCGGACTCACTGGCCGCGGTAAGGCAGGACGAACGACAGCGACAGGGAGGAAGTCCGTCAAACATCCGTCAGACGTCCTCAGACGTGGCCGAAGGATGAAGACCCCCGGTTGTATATTTGAATTGTATGAGAATACAGATCCTATGACCGTCCTAAGACGTGTTTTGTTGGACTATGAAGACCCTGAAAGACCCACTGGAAGGAGGAACAAAAGACATAGACCACAACGCTATGGATCGACGACCGTTGTGAACGCTGCAAGTAGGTGATTGAATTCACTCAAAGCCAGGTGATTGAGAACGCAAACAATCAAACATGTGGCAAGCTTCCATCAAAGCTGGCCGCACCTGCACCCCACCAAACTTAAATTGCTTGAGGACAGCGAGCTTGATTGAAAGGGGGCCATCTCAAACGCCACGCCCAAACACGAAGGCACTATGGCTCGAGATAGGGACACACTCGGACAGAAGGACTTAGAGAGAAGAAGTGCGGCCCGTTCCTGTCTCACATGAATCCCTTCAAAGAAACACTATGGTGTGGTTTGGGGGGACCTATATTTAAATACACACACCCATACTGTTTCTTGATTCTGAAGTAAGGAAACTTCCCGAAATATACCAAAATCAGGTCCTCGTTCGTCAGGCCCTTTCTTCCTTCTCCCAGGGAAGAGAGTTTTGTTCCCCTGACCCGTTGTGGTTCTCCAAGGGGTTGGCAATTGGCAACGCATTTGCTGGTTGCAACTTGAAACAAACAACGTATTACTCCAGTGGGTTTCATCGGCCCAAGTAAAGGGTTGAACATAAACATGAATGAACAATCCCTAGGGCTCCAGTCGTGCCTCTTCAGAAGGTATTTGGACCCTCCAAACCCACTCCAACACCTTCTAAGAGCCTTTAGGGAATATCTGAAAGCACCACCCAGCTGTGTCATCGCCGTGGAAAAAGAACGAGTCGATCGGCTCCCTTTCCGGACCCCTCGTCGAGTCGCTGTCACTGTCCTCACCTATGAAAGCCAATGGAGGGTAGACCGGTCAAGAAAGGCAAAAGCCGAGGTGAAACAGCCATCCCAAAACCATCCCAAAAGCTTCTAAACCATTTTCTGGTTTTTCATTTCCAGTCTAAGCACTTTGATTATGAAAGGTAGTAAGTTACAGTAAGATGTCGTATGATGTAGGTTCAGGGTAGGTCACTAGTTCACGTTCGGCCCCCTTCAAGGAGTCCATGCAAGATCACTTGGGGGAGGTCATTGGTCCCCCATATCTCGCATTTCGGGGGACCCCTTCCAGATTCCATTCTTCCCGTGGTGAGTCATTCGCTCCCACCACCGGGTTCCGGTGACGAAGCAAACTTCTGAGAGTGCCCACGTGCGCCCGGTCCGGGCCCGGCAGCCGACAGGCTGTTCAAAACGTGCTGAGAGATGTTCCAACATGTGCAAAATGCGTTCAGTGATGGGTGGGTCGCCAGGTCAAGACGCGGGACCCATGGGCCAAGTCCGGGAGTTTGGGATCCCAGGAGTCACATGCCCGGGGAGGGGGTTTTAGTCCCATCCAGTGAGTGGAGTAGCTGGGCACCCCGACTTCCTCCAATACCCCTGTGTGACTGCTGGTATAGTAATTATTAGTATGAATTTGGTAGTCGGACCGAAGGCATCTGGCCAACTGTGGTGGGTTTGTTTTGGGAATGGATGACAACTCGGAACCCCAAACCGGGGTATAGGTGGACCTCTCAGGTAGTCCATTCTGTTCATTCTCTCTGGTCCACCAAGGTACCCCGGTTTTGCCAAGTCGCCAGTCCCTTCACCAGAGCCTCCACCAAGCTCTTCACCTCAGTGAAGCACCTTTCTCTTCTTGGAGTTGCTGGATATTTCCAGAAGCCGGGAACAAATACATGCCTCAAGTACAACAATAAACAAAACAATGTCTTGTAAGAACCTGGAGCCGTCTCACCCTTAGGGATCCTAAAAACACAAGTGGCACTCTCTTGTTGAACCAAATCACTGAGCAGAAGCTAGGCTGCAGGGATTTCAATTGGGTGGTTCTTGGACAAACGTGGGAAGCCCATGGAGCCCCCCAACAGGTCCTCCTTTTCGAAAGGCATGTCTGCTTTCTGCTCTGAGTGACTTTTTCCAGGTGCCACAGTAACAGCTGCGTTTGTCTGTTCAATCACAGCCGTAGGTTCTGTGCAAATAACGAATAAGCCCTTGGCTTCTTGAAGATACATCCTGCCACCATGTATGGTTCTTTCAGAGCCAATGGCACAACAACCAGACTCACTGTCTTTGGGAATCCAATTTGTCAAAAATCTATATTCATTTCCAAATTCAAATGCACCCACCCACCACCGCCTGCCCGCGCCCTCTTCGGGCCCATAGACTCCCCCGACGGGATAGTCCATGATGGCTTGAGGCTTGTAGAACCTCGAGGCCGGAGCCAATGGAAGAACGAAAAAAACGACCAAACATGTTGTCCCATGTCGTCCATCTGTCACATCACCCGTGTCTGCCCTTGGGGAGGTTACGCCCAACAGGTTGACCTACATAGTGACATAGTAGGCATATATATATGCATATACTTAGAGAGGCCTGCAACATTCATCAAGTTGATGAAGGCCTTCTCTTCTTGGCCGTTCCGTTTCGCTGCTCCAATCAAATCACAGAGATGTGCAATCAAAGAAAAGGATGTTTTCCAGCTTCTGACCATCATTCTGCTAACAACAAATCACGCATGAGGAGCACTTTCCAGCATGGACCTATAAGCCAAAAACCGAGTAGCTTCTTTTGTAAATAGTTCTTTCTCCCAACTCTTACTAAACCATACTAAACCCATTCCGTTCAAATGGTCGTCCCCAGCAAGGTAGTCAGAGATCGTCCGAACACAACTCACCAAATAGATGGTGGGGCGGCTCAAGGATTCAGGATGCTTCCCAAAAGCCAGCTGATTAAAAATAAATACGACTTGAAACCTGTATTTTCAGGCTCAGCCACTGAATCTCAATAACCTCTAATTAGGTCCTGAGTCCTAATGTAGCTCTTTCCTCCGTTTTTGAGCCACTTTCCAACAACGATTCAGCTGTGGCCCCACGTCTCACCAGGTGGCTCCCCGAACATCATGGCCATCTCAGCCGTCACGGTGCCATCAGCAGGAAGACCCGAGAGGCAAAAGCACAGCCTCGGCGGGGACGGGGCGGGTCTGGCGGCACTGACACGACCGACTCATCTCCACCTGTCGACTGACCTGTTGGGGGACCTTGAAAAAGGTGGTTTTAGGGGTCAATGGATGTCATATAGTGGGTTCAGAGTAAATGGCACAATCCCCAAAAGGTGGTTTATATGGACCCCTATCCAAAGGACATCTTGGGGTTTGTGCCATCCACTCTGAAACCACAGTAAGTTAAGTATTAATGCCAGTCCCATGGAGTGTCTGGAAGACACGCGAACCCACAACCTTCTCAGAAGGTGCAAGTGGAGTCCTGGGCCTCGGAGTAATCCTGATTCATTTTTGTTTGGACATAGTGACGATAACATTGATGGAATGGGTTTTGGTTTCTACCGAAAGCCCTTATATATATTGGCTTGAAATCAAACTCAAGGCCCCAAACTGCAAACAAGCACTTACTTGTTGACCCTTGCACACTTGTTGTACACTGCACGAATCCTTGACAGGCGCCAGATGGCACTTCGTGGCTGGAGCCACGAAGTGCAGCAGCTGCGAAGCACAAAGGGGTGCGGTCTAGACCCAAGAAAATTGTAAAATGGCTTTCGAACCGTCGACTAGTCACTCTATTAAAGCCCCACACTCTTTCAACTTCATGACTGTTTCATCCTCGCAGCGTGCGAAAAGTCAGGGACATCATCTCCAAATCCTCCGAATCACCCAGTTTAGGGGGAACACCCCGGGTTCGCGCTCGAACCCGCGCGGCGCGCGGCAGACTTCGGCAGCCATGCGGCAAGTCCAACCAACGCCGAGCAAAAGGATCGGTCACCCCAGCCCTCTCACCATTGGGGCGAGGAGAAAGCTCAAGTACTGGAGCACCGTGATCCCCACTGGTCTGTAAGTACCCAGAAGCCACCAAAATGATGGTGTTGCCTTAAGAAGCCCCTAGCATCCCCCCACTTATTCAAAGATCCTGGTGCGTTTTTCACCGTCTGGTATCCCTGCTGCCCTGCCAAAGCAGTTCAGCAACATCAAACATTTGGACATATCTGGACGTATGACATACAGGGATAGTCAGAGGTGCCCTTCCCAGGTAGGAAGCCACTTGTGCAGGGAACCATTGCTGGAAGGACCTCCAACCCGAGCCCTCCTGGCCCCCCGGCTGTTCTGTTCTCCTCTGGCCCACGTGGGTTCTGCTCACCGAATTTGGAAAACACGGGAGAACTCCTGTTGAAGGGTATTGGAAATCCCTTCAAAAGAACCATCATTTCATGGACAAGCAGCTAAGCAGCTCCTCCACCAAAAAGACCATCTCCACCAAAAGGTTCAGGTTCATACAAGTTGTTTGGCTCGCACCCCTTGTCCCTCGCATGGCCTAGCAGGTTCACCCCAAAAAGAATGAAAGTATCCAAGCAAAATAGCACCATGTGATCCCAATTTGCTGCAATCATCAAGAAAAAAACATGAATCCAAGTGAATCCATATGCCGAATCCCCAAATCCCGGCTCAATCCCTATCATCACATCGCCTGTCCACTCATCTCGTCATGCCTGGCCTCTCCACCGTTCTTGCAAAGGGATCGTTGAGCTGCTGTGCATTCCTGGGAGTGGTGATGCCCAGGGTCCTCCGGTGCCATTTGACCCACAGCGCAAACCAAGAATGTCAGCAATGGTGATGCCTCCTGCCTAAGCTGCCGAATCGTATTACACTCCCTGAAACAATCATGGACGTGGAGGGCGTGGCTCCGAAAGGAAGACTACTTTCCTCTACCAAGAGGGCCAAGAGGGGGTGCTTTCCACTTCCATGTTTGTTGCAGGGAGGGTAAACACGGCTTCTGTGGTTCTTCAGAACATCTACACACTCCCCATAGGTGGAACCATCCTGGGCCGGCGCCCGCGAGGGCTCGGATCACCATTTCGCACCAGGACTCGGTGCACTAACTCCACTACACCCCGACTCACTCAAATGGAAGTGGAAAAAAACCATACAGAAAAAACACATGTTTGTAAAGGCCATTGGTCCATTTCCATCCACCTCTGGTGAAATAAGGCTCTTCTTGAGGACATCAAGATATATTTCCCGGTGACGGCCACCTGTCTTGGGCATGTCACATGTCAAAACAAAAGACACCAAAAAGCCTAATCAGTCGACCGGTCCATATATGTGGTCCTTTTAAGTCCTTCACTTCGCAAAGACCACCTGAGAAGGTTGTTTCACCAAAACACGCAATGGAAACTGACAAACCCCAGTCGAGAAAGTCTCGATGTTTTAGAACCAACTGTGGCAGGCCATACATCTGGAACACTTTCGCAGTTCATTGTGCTGCATCAACCGCTTTCTCAGACCTTGTCAGCAAATCCGAGAGCTGATTTGATTTCTGCCACAGGGTGACCTTTTGCCTTTGACCGTGCCCAAAGGATCACCAAACCCGTTACCTGAATTCTGGTTGCCTTGTCTACCATTGCCAGCAGGGGCCCCTCCCTGATGTCAGCACCTTCAGGACACTGTGCGGGCAGGAACCTACCAGCTCGGCAAGCAAAGTGACCGTGAAGTGGCTCGCACAGGTTGCTTGGCAAATGATTTGCTCAGTTGATTTGGCTCGATTTATGTCTGATTCTAACACCTATAGTTTATCCTCATTTCAATATGTATATATATAATAGTTATATAGCATTTATATGTGTTTTTACTATCTATAATTTTACTATTTATATTTATATATATATATAATACTATTGACTTATTTGCCCTTCTCAGCCAGGCTTCAAAGGCCCAGCGGCCAGGAAGCGCGGTAGGAAGGGCGCCACGGTGAGCAACGCACCGGCGTCCAGCCGCAATGCAGGCACGGGGAGCGCCTGAGAAACTGCGACGGAGGATGGTCACCACATCCGTCCAAAATCCGACAGGGACCCCCAAGTTTGGTGGATTAGATGGACCCCCCATCTGTCTAAGACATCCTGTTCTTGTTTGTGCCACCTACTCTGAATCTACTGCAACCACCCGAAAGGGACGGTGCTAGTTGCAATTCGCCTCTTGTTAGGTTGTTCTAGGTGTTCAGCTTGAGGGCCACATATCCCATTTATAGGGTATACTTGAAGTCGGGGTCCAGGTAGCTAGTTGGTTTCAACATCAACAGCGGAGGGTGCAGGTTGCCCCCCCTCACAGAAGCCTATAGTCGTGTTAAATCACTGTGCTAACTGTGAGCTTGTCCTCTATATTTCAGAAGTAGGGCTGTTCTTGATCTTGGAGACACTGTTGATCTGAGAGATTCAAGAAGTCGTTCAGTATATGCGGCTTTTCTTGTTATTTTGCCGCTTGGCAAATTACCATGCATCCCCCCAAACCATACGGATTCGGTGCGAGACACCCCACCCCACCCCTCTCTCACAGCGGTCTCCCGCCGGTCTGAGCGGTCTGAACTTCCCGCCAGCCATGTGCTAAGCGTGCGCGCCTCCACGAGGGCTGCTAAGGGTTTCATCGCAGTCCTGAGAGATAGACCATCCCAAAGGAACCGAGACAAGCCCTGTTTCCAACACGAGCTGGGCGGGAAGGCGGGACCTGTACCTTTTTGTTGGGGGTGGTTGGAATTGTGGTCATATAGATGTCTATGGTAAATGTTCCATACATGGAATGTCTGTAGTGAGATTCATGAATGCAGTCATTAAGGACTATAGATGATTTCATCGCCACGGGCTGCGACGGGAGTGTCATCACCGAGTTGGTTCGACGCTACTGGGACTGCCTGACATGCTGCAAAAAGTTGCACAAGAAGTGGAACATCAGCACCTGCAAATGCACGAAAACCAACGAAACAAAGTTTCGACTATCAGATATCTTTTATGTCAGCTGTCCTCAAAAAAGAGGATTGGCACAAACCAAAAGACTTTTTTGGCGCCATCAAAGTACAGTAAACGCCTTTTTGGGTCACCTATATATAAGAACCATATGTTATCTATTGTTTAAGACATATAGTCTTGGACTGACTCAAACAGACATGGGCACCTCTGGTAGGCCAAAGGTACCGTGTCGAACGGTCTGGCGGTCGACCTCGCTCCCCACAGTCCTCCGCCGGACAGGCGGCTCGTGTGGAGGGCCCCCCGGTGTCCTCCTTCCTCCTGGTGTTCAAGACCCATTCGTTAAGACCTCAACACCCAAAACCGTATCACCATGTTCCAATCCCCTTCAGTCATCCATGCTCTTGAGATTCCTTTTGCACCACCAAACCACCAAACCAGCTCTTCCCCACCGGTGGCGCCATCGCCCGCCCTCCACTCCACCCTCCCGGGCCGAGCTTCAGGAGACCCTCCCATTCCCTGCTGGCGCTCGGTCCGGAGACCTGTCGGAGGATCTGCTCTCCAAACCTCGGCCGGGACGGCGGACCCGGGTCCGACCGTCAGCCAGTCTCCTGGTTCTGAAAACCACCTCATGTCATTGAAGAGTGGTTTTTTTTGGTATGATCAACTTCAGAATTTCTTGCTTTTCAATGAGGTCCAATGCCAACTGACTTGCAGGGCACTTCCTCGGCCTTTCTTTTGCCGCGGCTCGAAGGGCGAGCCGCCGAACACGAGCAAGCAAAAAGCAGCCACAAAACCCCACAACTATAGAAACGACCCGAAAAGACTCTGTGATGTGCTTGCTGAAAAGTGAAGATTTATATCCATTCACGCATTCAGCTCTTTCACACCCCACCCATCAACTCAGCATTTCTTCCACCACCCACTCCGTGTCTCTCAGTCCAACCACGCATGCGCGAGCCTATAGACGACGACGCATGTGTCCACCCCACATCTTTCATTCGAAGCCCCTGCGGTCCAAAAGGCTCGGGTGTATGGAGGAAATCGCCCTCGGGCAAGCAAAGCCCAAAGGAACGATACCTGGAACGGCGGGACCCCGGACAGGGGGACGGGGGGGACAATCCCAAAGAGGTTACATATATTTTAAACCAACAAAAAGAACAGAACTCAATTCTGGAGACGCACCATGGATTCCGGGTGTCTAATGGTGAATGTATCTGCTTTGAGTAGATGACTCATCCCAAACACTCCATGTGTGGCACATTTGCCTGCATTGGGGTGGTTTTTGTGGTCAATGTATGTAAATATGCCATACATGGAATGACATGGAAAACATAGCCCCCAAAGCAGGTCCAAGTCAAAGGTCCTCCATATCATCTGCTTCTGACAAGCCTAGAGCCAAAGCCTCTAGATCAGTATATGTGAGCAAAACCAGTATGGTCTGTGGTGTGGCTCAAGATATTATGGTCTTCCTCACCAGTATTCATGAAAAAAGGGCAAACCTTGGGGTCAAGGAGGGTCAACGAACAGTCCTACTATTATGTCCATCTATGTCCTTATATATACACCAAAAACAAACACGTGCATGCCGCATGCCACAAAACATAAACAAAATGAACTGTCACACTGCGCGCGTCACGCGTGACGCGTCGATGGGTTTTCCAGGTGGTGTAGAGTGTAGCAGTGTAGCACTCCTTTCAGGTGGTATGGATGGAGCCAGCAACAAACTTGACTACAATGGTACTATTCCAAATCAAACACCCACCTGCTGTTTGGAAGACACCCGGTTCACGCTAGATGAGCCTTCTTGGATACGCATCACTCGCGGTGAAAAGAAGTGGAAACGACTCGATCTTCCCCACTGGTATTGACGACCAATGGGACAATCCCAGACACGACCAAGGGGACAAATATGGCCTGCATGAAAACCACTCAAAACATCTCAAAGCAACCACCAGTCATGGGGCGGCCATAATTGCAGACCCATCAATGGACAGTCTTTTCAAATCCATTCAAATCCTATCATTTCTCCGGCCCTCCCCAAATTCTCTTGGAAGCCTGGCTGTGGCTTTGATGCTTGAATTAACCCATACAGAGCCTGAAATTAGGAAATGCTTCGTACCTCAACGCTGCTGAATTACACACATTTGTCCTGGGCATCAAACACTCCATGTATGGAATGGTTACATTGGTGTCATACATGGTGTCATACATGGAGTAAATGTATGTAATTATTCCATACCCAAACACTCCATGTATGGCATATTTACCTACATGGAGGTGCTTAGCTTTTGGAGGTCGCCAGACACTCTCCGTGTCTGGGATCCGTTTTCAGTTCTCAGGGGCTGATGGCAGGGCAGCTGGACGTCCAGGAGATCCAAGACCGCCTTCAGCGGATTGATGCGCGCGCCCTTCGGATCGGACAGGCCACCTGGGGATCGGTGCCACGGGTCGGGTCGGGTGGGTGTTGCTTCGGTGTCTGCTGGGTGGCTTGGAGAAGCAGAAGGCTTGGAAAAGCACAAGAGAAGGGAGGATGCACAAATGCACATTGGTGTACTTTGTATACCATGCTCATTTTGGGGGGGGGAACCTCTGTTTCTGGTTTGTTGGGCAGCATCGTGCAACCACAAATGAAGGGTGCTCCCTGCGCTGAAGAGATTTGGGTGCACCGACCAACGGACAAAGCAACCAAATCAAACCACAAGTGGTTCACATGTGTCACGACGACCATCATCGTCCAAGAGGTCACCCATAGACTCCAGACCACCCTTAGCTACTTCTGGGGCTCCATGGGCACCTCTTGGAAGGTCTTGGTGAATAAAAATCTATGTTGATCTCTATACTATATAATATATGTTTCCCCAGCTCAATAAAGGATTATAAAAAGAGGTGGATAAGAGTCACAAAGGGGTGCCCTGTGTCCATGAACACCTGTGAGAAGAGGGGTACGGGTACAAATTCTTTCAGTGGCGCTGCAATCTGAGTGGATCAAATACTGAACCCTTCAAGACACCCAAGTAGACCAAAACATTCCAGAAGCTCTTGGTTGCTGGGTTTCTCTAATCGAACACACACACACAGACTTAGAAGAGAGCTTCTATGGTTACTGCAATAGAGCTT